TTATATAGCTAGGTGCTAGGTAGTGTTTGCATAAAATATAAACTATTGAGAATGAAAAAAATAAAATAAAATACGTTTTACCTATTTAAATAATTTAATGATAATATTTTTTTATTAAAAATAAAAAATTTTAAATTTAAATTATATGATATGTCAGTGAAATAAGATAAGAAATAAAAAAAATTATATTTTATTATGTAATAAAAATAAAATAAAATAAAATAAATCTAACACTAAATAATTTAACAATTGCTCTTTTTTAAATAGATGTCAAGACATTAATATCTTAGGTTTTATATCTAAATCTCCTTTCATCTTCAAAATTTCCCTTATTCAATAAAATAAAATAAAATAAAATAAAGTTACCTACAGAAAATGAAATCAAATTACTCTTTTATGTTAACAAAATTATTAATTCTTCTCTCTCCGGGGTTTTTTGTTGTTATGACTAAAATCAGGTTTCGGCAACATGAATTGGATTTCCTCCCTTAGATCAAGTAGTTGCAGCTCCTCTCAGCATTGGGATATGCTTTCCTTTTCCTCGATGAAATTGGCTTCGATTTTCTTCGTATCCATTGGGATTTTTAAAAGAAATATTTGCAATTCAACTTTAATAGAATATATTTCTTATTAATTTCATTCACGTTTTCTTTTTCTTTTTCTTTTTTTTTTTATCATATAATATTAAACCAAATTTCAAATCAAAAAATGTCTATCATTATTAAATAAAAGGAGTCGGGATTTTTTTCTGTGTTAATACATTTAAAAATTTATATGGTCAATTATAAAAAACAAAAACCTCTAAGATATATATGGTCAAATAATATAATAAAAATTTATAATTAATAAAAAAAATTTAAAAAAATGCGAACAAACTGTACAAAACACGAATTAAATTTTAATTAATATAAAAATCATTAATTCCCGAGACCGCCAACTAGACAAGGAAGTCCTTGAAGTATGATATTTTGCCTCTGCACGGAATAGATGAGCTAGTTGTACTGTCAACAAGAAGTAGGCAGAAGAAGTAGTCCTATTTTGTAGAACAGGAGCAGAAACAAGCATTCATTTGTTTTCTCGGTGTCACTTACTAGACAAATATGGCATGTTATTTGTGCTATGATTGGAATTTCTTTATGATAAAACTCTAAATCCAACTCTTGGGGACAAATTCATTTTTTAAAAATATATAGGAATAAATTATTTTTTAAAATTATAAATTTATAAATTACAATTTTTTAACATTTTTCATTAAAAAATACTAACATGACAAATAAAATTTTGATATTTTTTATTTAAAAATAAATGATTTGTTTTGTTTTATAATTTTAAGAGATAATTTATCCTTGTATTTTTTGGAGAGGTAAATCTCTACCAACCTATTTATGGGATGGATTTGGAAGTTTTGCCTTCCTTCGATCTTCTTTTTTATTTTTTATTTTTTATTTTTATTTTTTGATTTTGCTCTTTACAAGGTTTATTGACTTAGACGGGAAAGAGGATTATGAGGAAATCCTTGTACCATATCCTTCTTAAACTGGTTTGAAATGCTATAGTTTATTATATTTGGAAGGAGAGAAATAACAAGTCCATATAGACAACATTTCCAATCTGGTTTGCAAGTTGTACATGATATTCAGTTTGATGTTAGAAATAAGGTTTTGGGCTTTGCAAAGCCCAAATCTTCATCACTGCCCATGTGTGTAGCATAGCAATGGGGGTTAGAAGGCATTATACAGCTACCAATGCACTCTTAGCAGTAGATTGTTCCTAAAAACTGTAGTTATACATTGATTGCAGTAGCAACTGTTGCTTGAGTATACAGAATAGATTTATTGGATATATAACATTTTTATATTTTATCCAAAAAAAAAAAAAAAATCAGCTAGATGTAATGGTCAAATAACTAAAGCATCCAGAGATGTGCAACAAACAGGGAAACATAGATCAAGAATAACAAACAACAATGAACTGCTGAAGGCATGCCAAACAATTTCAATTGTCAAACTGGTGAACAGATTAATGATGTTCGATGCAAATCTGGAAAAGAAAAGACAGTAACAGAAGGCATCTCCGAACACACTATCAAGGAAAAAAAAAAAAAAACCACTCTAGACACTGAACATATTTTAATTTTTTCCTTTTCTCTTTCTTTCCCCTTCTTCCTTTGCTCATGGGAATTGGGGTTTGTTGACAAAGAGAACTGGCCAAGCCCATATAGTTCCAAAGAAAATTCACTAATCACTCACAATATATATATATATATATTTATATATACATAGAGGAGTAATATGGCAGTCTCCAAGAAATGTTAAGCCACATTTACTAGCCTGTGGACTTGGATTGCAATATTTGCACCAGTGGCCATAAGATATCCATCCTGTGCATAATTCTGTTGTTTTGCCCCTGCAATGATTCAAATTCAAAATTAATTCCGGTATAAGAAAAAGCTAAAACCTCTTTCTTACATGCACAGATGCTAGGAGATATATATATATACATATATACATTTTGCTATATGTATTTTCCATGTCATGGGTGGATACTGATCAAAATTTTTTAACTATACAATTCAACATATGAATTGCAGAATACCAACACAGAAAAGATGAAAGGCATTGACATGTTTAGGCCTAGCAAAATTGGATTCGATCTGAGATCCAACCCAATCCATCTTTTATGGGTCAAGTCATGGATCTAAGCTATTCATTTGAAATTCCAAATTACGCAAACTGAGATTATCTAGACCCAACTAGATTAAGCCAGAGTCAGGTCGATGACCCAACTAAAATTAATTAATTTTTTTAAATTTAAAATTTTGATTAATTATATACTTTTAATTTTTAAATATAAAATAAATTTAAATATATAGAATGATTATTATTTATTAGATTATTAGAGTTAATATCAATCTAATAAATTTTTTTGATTAAATAATTAATTAATATTAATTTTTTAAAGAAAAATTGAGAAAATATTGAAAATTTTTAATTTTAATTTTAATTTTTTTAAAAGTTATGTCCGCTTTATCCAATTCGAGACCGGTGAAGATCGGTCATGGGTCTACTCCCTTTAACCCAAAATCTGAGATGTCCTAAACTCAATAAATCTGAAATCTAAATTGACCCAATCAGAACTCACCCAACCTGAGTTGTTTGCCAGGTCTAGACATGTTCCAGTACCATCCTACAGGAATGGTTCAGCTCAGCTAGATCCTTACTGAACTGATGGTTAAAAGAAAGACAAGGGCCTTGAATAACTAAAAGAAGATAAATGATCCCACCATGTAATGGACCTCACCTCAACCACGAAACATATCCAAGTCTTGTCACCATGCGCTTCTGTAACCCCTTTTAAAATTGTTAGACCCAGGCTCCTGATTGCTTCTGCTATCTCAAGAAAATGACTACATTCCTCACACAACATCTGCTAAGATCAACCAGAATCATCTCAAGAACGATAACAAACTTAAATTAAAGAGTGAAAAACTAAAGCTTGCATCTTTGACATATCATATGGAAAATATCATGTCCCATCTAATTTCTGGATTTTACCCACTGAAATCTCACTTATATTGTTCTTTATTCAAACAAAATTCTACTACGTGAAATGATGAATCTACATTAAATTTCCCTTACCTAATCTACACCTACACATCACAATGAATCTACAAACAACATTACTATCACTGTGCAATGGTAACAATGATGACAACAAGATTATAGTATCATAGTTATCTGACTAGGATGTACCTCCACAAGCATCTGCCCATTCTTGTTCAAATTCTCCACTATTATTGAGCAAACTTTTAGATGACTTCCCACTTCAACTGCCCAGCTTGAACCTTGGTCATAATTGGATGAGCCTTGTACACCCATTCTGTTGTGATGCATCTGCAAATTCAGATATAATATATAAACAGACAGAACTGCACTTGACAAATAAAAACAGTACACCCTTTTAGCAATTAAGTTTATTTACAGTCAAAGCCTGATACTTTACCTTTGGTTCAGCACATTTGTTGAGCTTGTCAGCATGCTTAGTGATGCTTTGCAGGAAGAGCATGTGTTTGACAGTTCGCTCCAGCAATGAATCTATACTGCACTGCAGAATTTTCTTGAAACTTTTAGCACATTGATGTTTTACAAGTATAGGAACTGCAATCATCAGCACTCAGCTAGATTGCATGATATTTACCTTTCCACCATTGGGCACAAGCTCTCTCAGCTCCTTAATACGATCCTGTATAAGTTGCCTGTCCCTGGGCCTTGGCCTACTACTTTCTCCAGGTCTTGTCCTCTTTTTGTTGTTCTTAACTGGCTCTGAAGACCTTTCCAACTGTTCACTACAAGTACTTGTTGGACAAGTAGATGAAAACGCATTTGAAGACATTGCACCACAAAACTCAGCAGAATTCAAACAGTGCTGTGTATTCTTTTCCATAAGAGATGACTGATTAATTGAATAACCAGATGAATTAATGGTACACTTGGTTTGGCTTGAAAGCTCTGGCATATTTTCATCTGTCATCAATGATGGCACTGATCTGCAGAAAGATCTCTCACCATCCATATTATTTCCATTATGGCAAACATTAGCTACTACTGCTTCTAGGAGATTCTCTGAGCCAGACTCTAATGTCAATTGGCTGCTGCTCATCCCCTCTGGCATTTCAATATTTGCACCAGCTTCAGTATTCTCGGCTTGCCAATCAACAGAGATACTCTTTTTCAGAAAAGCTGGCCCCAAGGCTTCATAAAGCTCACAGCCAGCCGTGAATGTTAAAGTGTTCATTGAGTCTAACTGGTTAAAACCAGTTTGACTCTCCAACTTCTCAAAATCCTTTTGAAATTTCAAATCTAAAGATTCTGGAATCTCCAGCACCTCAGTTTGACAGAATTCCATGTCATCTGACTTAAATCTATTGCTCAAGGCAGAGTCATGGAGGCTTTGAGTAAACTGTGCATGATCAACTCCAAACCCTTCAGCTTGAATTGCAACATTAAAAAAATTTACACTACTCATAGGAGAATTGTCAGAGACATTTTTCTCTGATTTCACAATCATACTTTTCCAGCTGCTAGTCTCCCCTTCACACAATCTATCACTAATCAAATTCACCCCTAGTTTATCCCGATTCTCCAAATTGGCAATGTTTGATCTTGTTTTCAATAGTTTTGTGCTCTCTTCTGTGGATAATTTAATCTCTTCATGCTTATTCACGACTTCAACTGCACTTTTTGGACAAAATCCGGACATGGGAAAAACATATGAACTATGACCACCCTGTTGGAAACATGAAAACTCAGGCAAGAAATCATTTCGCCCATCTTTGTTTATAGCTTTATCTAGAGAAATAACTTCAGAAGCTAAACCTTTTATAGGTAAATCTGGCTGCAAAAGGAGGACATTAAAATATTGTTACCATATATAATATATGTACAAGCCAAAGAGATAACTTTTAATCTTCCAAAAAGGACTTGGGCATGTTCATGCACACAGATTCACACTCATGCACAAAAGCGTGTAGAGAAAAAGAGTTATACCTGAGCTATGGGAATCTTCAAATTGCATTCAATTGGAGCATTCACATGCCCCACTGAAGAATCTTGCAGGGCTGAAAAGACATCTCTGATGTGACTCACCACGTTCACATCCTCAATCACCTGGTTTGTTCAAGTAAACAAATCCAAATATAAATGGAGAGAAGATGAATTCAGAATCAATCCCATTAATCGTGTACTGGGAGGTATAAGAATAGAATTGTACCAGATACCTGAAAAACAGAAATGTTCAATAACAAGACACCTGAACTAAAAAATATAAAATGATAGGATCTTATAGGATTTTCTTTTCTTTTTTTTTTTTGTTTTTTTCTTTTCTTTTTTGTTGATAGATACCTGGAAATTCCGCACTAAAAAAGATTAATCAGCTGACAATTGATGGCTAATAATAAAACTGAGAGAATAAGTTTACAATTGGCAGACTAAGAAGGTTCTTGTGTAAATACTTAACTTTTGACATTTGACTTTACATCTTGTTATATTTGAATATTAAAAAGAAAATTCATCTAATATCATTTAATGACTTCTGTGTATAAGTACGAAGGAAACAAAGAGGATAAAAATTAAAATACTCTGTGGGCTTTTAAGTTATAAAAGATATCAACTAGGGCATCCAAAAAGGATGGCACATTGCTTTTACTGTTTAACAGAACAGATTCATCACTACTACTATTTGCGAGTGGTTTTCCTTTAGCCCCCAAGAAAAGAAATTTATTTTGGTGCATCAGATTGCGAGACACACCCGCTGTTGCCTAAGAAAAAAGTAACAATAGGAAATTATAATTCCATCCAAAAAGGCACAGGGCTGGTAAGCTTTTAAACAGTCAAAACAAGATGATTGGCCATTATTAAGGCATAGGCATAGCTTGATATCCTTTGACTCTTATTTATGTAATTACAACCTAAAAACAAGACAAGTTATGATGCATGTAATCCATTGCTTTCATCCAAAATAAGTATACACTACACAGGACAAAACTTCAAGAACCATTAAGATTTTCAGACACCACCAACCACTTATTGAGTTCAGCATAAATGTGAGTGACATTTCAAAAGCACTAAAGAAAAGAAAAAACTTGCAGGTTTATATTATCCATCTCGGAACACTGTAGAAAACATTGCATCAACATCAGTTCTAAGCAAATTTACTAAAAGCCATGCATATATTTGAAATGGGAAAGCAATAGACTCGTCTTACTTCACTTAATGAACCAAGCTGCAGAACTCCATGTGGAACAACAGCAACAACTACAATGGTCTAAAGATAAAAAAAGGAAAAAAAATGTTAACAGAATATCAATAAGCAGAAATATAGCTAGGAAATGAAAATTCAATGCAGAAGACAAAGCTCAACTAGACTGATTTGAACTAGATTAAATCCATTTTTTCCAAGGAAAACTATAGATAAAGAGTTACAACCAGTAGCCAAAATTTACAAACTCAATAATCTTAGTTTCCTAACTTTAAATGTCACCCACCACACAAGTGAAAATTCTAAACCATTAGAAGTAGCCAAAAGAATAACACAATATAGTGGCGTTAAAAATGCCTAAATGATGGAAAATACCAATTGCTCATTTTAAGGGCCATTTCTAGTAACCGTTAAAACTAATATACACTAATCATGAAATTTTTAGGGAGAAAAAAAGATGCAGACTTACTCTGATCCCAGCTGCAAACTGGCTTTGCCAACCATCACAGAACTGAAAGATAACCCATTAAGGCAGAAGCCAAAAGAATAAGAATAATGGAAAGAAAAGAGCACTAACAATATGATTGGAATTATTACTTGATAAGAGTCACTCACCTCAAAGGATGAGCAGGAAGTGTTAACATGCTTATCTGCAAAGATCCACTGATGCGTTCCAGAAACTGCCACCCGTCCAACAATTCTGAAAACAAGAGATGAACACCAACATTAGTTGTCAATATGGTAGCTTCTATTCAATCATGAGCAAGTTCCTGTTTAACTATTAGCATGATTAGGCCAAAAAAAATAACTATTTGCGTAGTTAGGATGCAAAATCCTGACGCATCTACAAGCACAGGTATAAAGCAAGTAAATTCTACATTCAAACAACAAAAATCATAATTATATTTCTTTAACTACTTCATAAAATGCCAAGAGCAAGCTGGGACATTGACAGCACATTCTATTTGGTGAATCAAGGCATACCCCTCTCCTAGAGAATACACATGATATGACATCTTTGCCACAGCTAACCCAAGGGGATCATGTGAATAATGTCCACCATGCAAGGCTTCTAATGCCTCAGTGAAGCACTTATTCTCCAGAGGATCTTGTTGCTCACATTTGTCATAGTATGCATCCTCCCATGTCAGCACCCTGCAAAACGAAAGTTCAAGCAAGAATAAAAATTCAACTAACCATTTCCCATGTTTTAGTGTGTTACAAAAGAAAAGAATTTAACAGTCAACACAGAAAATAGCCAAAAAAAAAAAAAAAAAAAAAAAAAAAAAAAAAAAAA